CCGGAAGACCCACACCAGCCATCGTATGCCGGCTGTGAAAGCCTTCGACAATACATTTCCCTATATTCTTTTCTTCAGGGACACAAGTCCACAGCATAAGACTTACAAAGTGTCACATTGAAATCTCATTCTTTGGTACATGGAGTTTCTGTTATGCTACTACAAACTTGCTGCAGAAACTTATCTTTTCTCTTATGTAGCAAATCTAGAAAATAATGCATCATAAGATGTACAGCCAACTTTCAAATCAGCAAAATGCTGAACATTGTTTGCTAAATATTAATGACAATGACTACTATATAAAGGACAGGAGCCATCCCAGTGACAGCACTTAGCCAAACCTGACTAATCTTAAAAAAGCTAAACAGGGTCAATTCCCAGGAAATGCCAAAGCTGCAGATTAGACTGAAAAATTTTTAAAAAACCTGAAACAATGGCAATGGTAAACCACTTATGCATTCTTGCAATGACAACAACCAGGATGTAACAAATCCTAACTCAACTTACGGAAAAGTGTACTTTCTATACAGTAAAAGTCCATGAAAATTAGTCACTACATGGCTACAAAGAACTGTGTCAACTTCCTCTTCCAGACAGGCCCTTGAGCTTCAGTGGTTTCTCAACTGCTAGCTCTGGCACACAACAGGAAGAGAGGAAAAAACCTGTTTCTCAGATACCATGGAGAAATAAATGAAGGATTGGGAAAAGGGTGCTATTTAAACCATGCTTCAGGCAGTAATTTAAATTGGGCCAGCTGTTCTTTGGAACAACATTTCTGGGCAGCAAAAGCCTGTGAACAGATACAGAAAATCATTGGAGCTTCTTTAGACATTGGCCATACTTTGATCTTATACTGAAGAACAAAAAGCTATAATAATGAAATACACCAATTGATGCAGAACTACAAGTAGTCCTCATTTAGCAACCACAGTTGGGACCGGCAACTTGGTTGTTAAGCGAAGCAGTCGCTGAGTGAAATAGCAACTGTGCTTATGATCTTACTTCAGCTTTCCTTTGCTTTTACAGACCTGCAAAGGTTGTAAATCTGAGGATTGGTCGCAAATTTACTTTTTCATCACTATCGTAACTATAAATGGTCACTAAATGAGGACTACCTCTATATTGAACTTTTTGAAGCTTTTAGGTACATCAAATAAAAATTAACATTTAAATAAGAAAAAAGGACACTTAATAATACCTCACCATTCTCATTTAGGTTACCCAGAGCAAGTTAATTAGTATGGAGGTACACAGGCTGTCTATAATCTCTCTTCAGCACAATCACAATTCAAATTAATGCCAAATTAATGCATTCTCATTGCAAGCCAAGTCCCACTGTTCCAAGTTATTAATGGAAGTGGAACCTGGCACTAAAGGCAGAGATGGTCCATGATTATTCAGATAGACTTATAAGGAGACTTCTAAAATTGTAACAGGATAAGAGGCCTATTAAATGACTCTTAGGTGTAACCTAAAACCATCATTCTTCTCTAGATTGTCTGAACTTCTCAAATCTTTAATTTCAAATTCTATATCCCTTGAGCTACATTTTCATCTCTCCTTTACATAATGATACATTGAACAAGTTCAACCTTTGTCCAGTGGTGCTTAAAAGTTTGTGAACCCTTTTGATTTTTCAATATTTCTGCATAAATATGACCTAAAACGTGATTTGTTTTAAGCACCATTGTAACTATCTTATCCTTTCAATAGGCTAACATGTCAACTGCCAGCATTTCACGCCTATGCAGATAACAGCTCTGGAGTTAGCTGCTGGCCTAACTCCAGAGACCAGATATGATAAACATAATAGTTATAAATAAACCAAAAACATAGGGGGGTAGTTTTCTCTAAGCTACAGCTGTGGGAGACTTCCTTGCCAAAACACAGAATGAAAAAATAGCATATAATGAGTGAAAACCTGCAACCAATTACAACTTTTAGCATCTCTTCACATTTATCCTATAAGCTAGGACTGCTCAGAGTTGCAACCAGCTATATTTAAAGAGCCATGCATTCCCTACTCCTGATCTAATATACAAGGTTTGAGTGAGAAACACTATTTGCTAAAAGTGCATATGAACATGCAAGTTTAAAACATGTTTAAAGCAACCACAAACCAGTCTCTGAAATTATAAACTAGGAAAACCTTTGTCATCCAGTTCTGATTATATAAACTGATTACAGACATGATTCACACTTTTACAGAATAAACCATTAAAAGCAAAGTTAATTCAAGAAAGTTATTTTTACATGACTTATTTTTCTGCGTTTAGGTGATTATTTAAAATTATTTTGAATTACTTTCAAACATATTTTGGAGTCTATTATTAGAAGGAGATTTTTCATTTTTAACTGCAGCCCCTTGCACTGGATATATTCATGGAGATAAAGGGAGGAAGAGTCCCATGATATTCAGATTTTCAGGAAGCTATTGGGGCAATGAAGCAAAAAGCTACTGTAATCCTCTGAATTCTGGTCACTGAAATCAATAGCACTGATCTAAAGTTATCAAAATGACTGTTTATTAAATCAAATTATTAGATTTAAGAATTAACATAAAATAGATACAGTATAATTAAAGAGACAATACCTGTATTTATGTATTGTTTTCTTCATATCCACTTTGACAGTAAGTTTTTCTTTCCTAGCATGAACATCTGAAATTTTGTGTTGGGTGTCATGCTGGTAGCTGCTGGAAAAATCTATTCTTCCCCTAAAATCCAAATCTTTCTTTATTCGTTCTTTTTCATTTTGATCTAAGGATTTAGCACATGAATTGTAGCCTTTCCCTGAATTATATTTCACTGCCACTTCAGTGTGAGGCTCTCCCATATTGCTCGCCCTGTCATTGCTATAGTGATCTGAATATTTACTATTCCAAACTCCTTTACAATAGCTGTGTTTCTTGTTGTCCAACTTCATATATTTTTCTGCTTTTTCATCAGAAATGTATTTTCCTCCATCTGGATGTCTATGACGTTTATGAGAATAATCATATGTAACCTTAGTTTCACAATTATTACTGTACTCGAGTTCAGCATGCCGTTGATCTTGAGGATTTCTTTGTTCTTCCTTTTCTTGGTTGGAAGAAGAATGATTTTGCTTCCATTTGGAATTGCTTGCTGTTTCTCTATCATACCTCTCCATTTCTTTCACCTTTTTAGAGCTGGGTCCATATTCTCTGTATTCACGGTCAGGATACCTGTGTTGATATAAAGTAGTTTATACTTGCAGTAAGGAAGAAAATGAGAATTTATGTATGCAGAATGCTGGTAAACTCAGGCTTTAGGTAGAATGTGTCACCCCGTGATCCCTCAAGCCACCAAAAAGAGGGGAAATTATGATCTTGAATATGCTAGTCACCAACAGGATTAATTTAAAAGAAATATTATTCCTCTACCACCAGTAGCCCACAATTAAACTATGTTTTATTGTTAGAAAAAATACTTTTCTGGGCAGAAATCTTCCACTATCAGGGCAAATAGTTTTCACTTGAGGCTTTACACCACTAAAAAAAAAAAAATCATTAAAACTGGGCAATTTCTCTACCTCTTCTGGGAAGAACTCCTTGGCATAAATTCATTAGAAAATCTTCGAGGTGATTGAACATACTCGTCTTCTTGTAACTGGTGGTGCCTCAAGTCATTTTCATTCCACTTCCTTTCAAACTTACATGAAGTCTTTAATGGCCTATGAAATGTCTTCATTTCTTTGGTGTTTCCAACAGGTCGAACATCTTCATGCATTTCTCTGGCACGTATTTTAGATGGATAAAATGACTGATGGTGTTCTTTGCGAGACATTTCTGAATATCTGGAAGAAAACTGGCTTCTTCTGATATTTTCATTTCTTTCAGGTGAATATATTCTAAAAGATTTATGATTATCAATGTCTTCTGAAGGGTTTCTTTTCAGAGTAGGGGAATATGATCTACATTCATGAAGTCTATGATAGTTACTTTCATGTGGTATATATCTGGGATTGGCTTGTCCATGTTTTCCATCTTCCATTCTCCAAGACATAAGTTTCTTCGAGTCTTTTTGGAAAATCTTATATTCACAGTCATAATCAATGTGATAGTGCCTTTGTCTATTGTGTTCCTGTGCCCTGAAGACTGGTGATAAAGACCTACACGTAAACACATAAATACAGAATTCTATTTAATTTCTGCAATGCACATTATGTCAGTAGGTTTGGGACTCTTACAAAATAGCATAAAAGTATTGTTCTAAGTTACCTATAGGAGTTTATTACATTTGGCAACTTTGAATTTTTAAAAAAATATTTGGAAATCTAATGTGCTGTTGTTTTTTGTTGCTTAAATTTAAATAGAGGAAAAATAAAGTAAAACTGAAACAGGTTCCCTCATGTAGATCATTCCCATTATACAGACTGGCTTCTTCTGGAAGTTATTCATATGAATTATAAATGCAGCAAATTCTAAGTGCTTCTTTTTCGATTCAGTCACCAGCTACATTCCAAATATTATCACAGCTATATGCTTAGTAGGGAATATCATACTCCATTCTAATGGATAAGAGGATCTCTCACCCTGAAATCCTGAATATATTTACTTCCAAATACAAGTATAATTGCAATTGTTAAGAATAAAATTTCTCAGAGAGTCATTTAGTGCTGCTCTCTTCTAGTAAATTAAGGAAAGCCTGTATGAGCAATCAAAGAACATGACTATTTACCTTCGTTTCCATCGTGGAGATCTTGACCGTGATCTAACCATCTTTTCATATATTTGTAAGCTGTCTTCTTTAAACTATTAGAAAAAATATAAACAAGTAAATATTTAGTAGTAACCAGTATGTATTATAACTGTTAATAGTTGAATGTTTACCAGAATATTTCAAAAAAAGTTATTTAATTTATAAATAATTAAGACAACAAGAATGAAAAGCTAAAAGAGAAAACACAACCTTATATTTTATCTGAAACAGAAATTTTGATAATTTGTTGATTTCATTTTAGTATTTTTTTAAAATATTTACTACTATTTTCTTCTAGTAAATTATTTTCTGAAGAGAAAAACATGCACACAAAAAAGTGGGACAGAAGCCTAAATCATACCCCTCCTATTAAAGTGAATCATATTTAACTGATATAAGCCAGAGATTAGCAGAAGATATCCTACAGTCTATCCATGAAGCTTTGGCAGACCACTGTGCATCAGCTAGATGTTAAAATTCACACGCACAAAAAAATGCTAAGATAAGTAAATCTTGGACACAAATTTATAGTCTTAAAAACAGAGGTACAATAATTTAACAGTCATGCCATGATTAAGAGATATTCAGTATGTACTGTTATTTTCTGAATTATCACACCCTTTTCCTGAATTATCACACCCTGTTGTTATTGTACATGATGTAGCAAAAATTATGCAATATTGAGATTATCTTCCAGATAAGCTTTGAATTAGCAATATACAAAATAAATATTTAAGATCCCCAATATGTGCTGGAAAAATAACCTCCCAAATTCAGACATGGAGAGAAATGTCAACATTTTGCTTTTCTAATTATACAGGCTCACGGTCATATCTCAGTTTTTTTATATTAATAGATTTGGAGTGCTTTCATCTACTGCATTTTGTAAAAATAGAATGCTTTCTTTAATACTCCTAGGAAGTTTTAATGACAATGCACTGTTATATTAGAGTGTACCTTAAATGAGAAAACCATAGCAGGCAATTCAGAAATTTTATTTTATTGAATGAAGTGGAATCTACCTCCCAAAAAACATTTATTACAATATATCTGTTGATTTTCATTCAGCAAAAGTTTTTTTGTATTGTAAATTATGGAGGAACCATGGATGAAAAGGTTGGTTGTGTGTTTGGATATTAGAAATCCTATGGCAGAAAGACTGACCAGCTTGGAGTTGTACATTCAATGCTGAATGTGGCTGCACTCTCTTGGAAACTCTAGGTACACTGCATGGGGATTTTCTTAGATCCACTGTCATCCAGAGAAGCACAGGCAGCAGCAGTGGTTAGCAGTGCTATCTACTCAGGTTTGTATGGCAGCTACAGATCTATTGGTGCAACAGGACCTGTTCTTGGTTATCCTATGCTCTGATTATCTCCAAAATGGACTATTGGTTAACTTTATCTGGGGCTTGCTTTCAAGATGGTTTAGAAATGTGGCTGCCATAAAGGCTGACTACAACTGTTTCCAGGATTAATCAGGCTTCCAGCTCTTCACATTTAGGGTCTAGGATATTCTGTGTATGACTACATTACAATAAAGAGTAAGATCTATATCTGAGAGTCTGCTTGAGTAATAACTATATTTTCAACAGATATTCAGACTGACAGTTCTTCCTGTATTTTGATCATATTCTACAGTATTTATACAACTAAAATCCTGAATCCCAAGGAATGGAAGATATTTAAAAAAGCTTGAATATAAACTGATTTCTAAAATGAAATGAATAAAATAAAGTAAAATAAGTCCTGGAGTGGCCTCATGAGTACGTATTTAATTGCATATATACTGTAAGGCTGAGTTCACACATTGCACTAAGCCACAGATTTGTTAACCATAGTTTTATTCTATAGTTAATTGATTGGTTTCACATAACATCCCATAAGCACTTTTAAAAAGCTGTGCTGGATCATTGTTATGTTGCCCCCATTCTTTTTTCTTAATGATAAAACAAAGCTTATTGGAAGGTCATACATGCAATTGGATGTTTTAATTATACATTATATATATTTTATAGAGACCATACATAGCTATATGACTAACAGACATATACAGTCCCAAATACTATAGCCTTTCTTCATAGGGAAGCTATTCTATTCTCTTAACCAATCTGGTTGCCCTCCTTTCCAGTTCTACATTATTATTTTGAGGTGAACTGTAACAATTGTACACCAGGCATTTACACAAAGCCATTATAATTTTGGCAACTTTATCTAATTATGTAATCATCAAATTTGTTTTTTTTTCACAGCAGCTATATACTGGGATGCTTTCATCAAGCTATTTTTCAAGTTCTCACTCCTGATTAGTCACCACAAACTCCTATCATTTTATGCAGTTAGAATTTTGACTCTAGTATGCATATTTTACACTGATCTATATTTACCATTTTAAAACATATTTCCCTAATTTGAATGATATTCTAGCTGTACTTTTTTTCTCTTAATCACTCCACATAATGTCGTCAATAGCACACTTAAATAACTATTTCACTACTTACCCCTAATTCTAGATGACTACTGAAGAATTTGTTTTTCATTGGGAAATTTTATCCATTTATTTTTATTCCTTGTTTTCTGTTATTCAACCAATTACCAATACATAACATGACCTCTCCTCTTTTCCCATGATGGTTGTTCATTCAAAAGTCTTTGGTAAGGGACTTTGCCTTTTTTTGGAAGCTGATCAACAATAATGAGACAAAAATAGCATTCCCCCCTTGGTTGATGGCTAAAATTTGCAACAAGAACAATCCATGACTAATTACAAAATGTTACTGTAAGTTTTAAAATGAATCAGTTAGGCTTGCATTATTTTATTATCTTCCACTGCAATTCTTGAGGTGTATCAATAGCCTAAAAATTCAATGTCAGTATATTTGTAGAAGCTCTATGGACAAAAGCAAGAATACCCTGAGAACAAGATGCACAATATTTGGAGAGGTTACAAAAACCCTAAGGGGAATAGGAAAGGTTCTGTAGGCCACTCTTGCATTGTCTGATGTCAGTGTTCCTAAGTCCACCGTAAGAAAAACACTGAACCAGACTAGTGTGCACGGAAGGACACCATGGAGGAAATCACCAATCTCCCAAAATGCATTGCTGCTCATGTTGTTTGCCAAAAGTCTCTCTAATTTCCCAAGCAGGTTCATGCCAGATAAGCAGACTTCTGACAACAGGGGCATATTTAGAAGGGCCACTGCTGCTAGACATGATCATAATAAGACAGGTGGTCACTCAAATATTCAGGCTCTAAGCTGTCTAAATACCAACATCTCAAATTATATCCAATAATCAACTGGCAACCAATACAGATCTTTTAGTAAAGTCACCATTTGATTCTTATACCTTGTACTAGTTAGCAGCTTAGCAATCATCTTTTGTATTAATTGCAAAATCCAGAAGCTTTACAAGGACATCCCACATATAGTGTTGTGATAGTTAAGTCCAGATGGAACCAAGGTGTGGATAACTGTCACCAAATCTAACTTAGGAAAGGTCACTGCTAGCACTCCAGTCTTAATTGTGTAAAAATTAATGTTATCTGTGAATCCAGTGATAGCTGAAGTTCAAGATGCACTCCCATACTGTGGAATTGCTCTTTTATAGGTGAAAGACTATCCAAAACAGGCTGAAGCTTATTTCAGATTCAGCTTTCTGTTTATCAGTAGCAACTCCATCTTGTCTGAATCTAATTTTATTTATCTGGCTCACCATCAACCTATCATGTTATTACTTGTATCACATTTATGGTTTAAAAAGAAAAAAAATTCTAATTCATGAAAATCTCTTAACCTGTAAATTATTTCTGCTAACTGTAGTCAGATAAGAATAAGCCATTATGTGGTTTATTTTTGGTATAGTTTGATGGTGAACACATCTGCTGTGGTTTTTAAACATGGTTTGTTTTTTGAAATGGGTTCAACCAGTTGTCTTGTACAATTTTGCCTGCATACCTAAACAATGTTTAAATGGCTTATTTCATACTCCTGCATTCTTACAAATATTTATCAAAATTAAGTTGGCTAAGTCCTTCCTTAAAGCTAACATAAAGGCAAATATAATACAATTTTGTTACAAGATTAATAGAATTCACATCAGATGGTTTTGAATGACTTTTTTTTCTGTACCCTGCTCTTAGGCAACAAACTAGGTTGTTAATAAATTTGGAAAATGCATCTAATTTGAAAAATCATGTGCTAGGAATTTATATTTCTTTTGAAATCATACTTTTATGGTTTTGTTTCACACTTATTCAATACATTACAACACTCTATTTAGCTTTTTAGAAAGAAACAAAAATATCAACCAAAATGAAAGAACATTGTACTATAAGTATTTACTCTTAATGAAGTTACTTTTTTAAATAGATGATTAAAACTGATCCATAGAGTGGTCCAATTATTACTTTTTCTTCAGGCTATTGAGGATTGTTCTGGCAAATATCTCTCAGGTGCCAATCTTGATCTAAAATTCTCATTTGCATCACCTGCATATGAGATCAACAAATTTTAACCTTTTTCACTGTAAAAAGCAAAAGGTTTCCAATAAGGAAGACTCAGGGATCTGGATTACACCACCATATATTAGGAAAAGTCTTCACAGGCTGTTACGTTTTAGCATATTATGCATTTTCAGGGAATAGATAATCACACAATTGAACATCATCCATGAGTGAATGAAAATCCCTCTGCTCGACAAAAAGAACACTATGACTATCATGGAATAAGAACTGAATCATGGAACAAACAGACATATGTAACCACAACATACCAACTGTATTAAAATTAATTTGCAGGAATGTACCTGGAGTAAGAGACATTTACTACATCTACCAAATTAGCTATAATTATCTGAACTCACAGGAAACTCTGCTTAGCAAGCTTGTCTCTGAAATGAACTATCCATAACTTAACAACCCCAATGGCAAGTTAATAAACTCAGTACTTTGTAGAATGATACTAACGCTTCTGTTGACATCATCCAAAAACATTTATAAATCTACTGAAAACAAAAACAAACATATACAAGAAATTTTAAAAGGTCACTAACATCAAACCCCATTACATATAAACCTAAACTTCTATATTATTAAAGGTTCCATCAGAAGTGCATCTAGTATCCTTTCCACCACAGACAACCAGAAGATTTTTACAGCTTACTTCTCCACAGCTGCATCATAACAACTGTTATTAGAAATAGTAGTACATGTAGTAACAACAATCTTAGTCTCTTCACACACATTTTAATTACTGTTTTTAACTACTTCTCTTGAATACTAATTGCTAGAGGTTAACCATGGGAGATGGCCATTGCCTTTTGTGCCGTTCTTAAAGGCATTAGTTTTGCTCTCCTTTCTAAATCAGCCTCATTATTTAAGTGCAACAACCAAATGAATCAAACCCCAGGTGCAAAAAAAATCATTCTACAGAATTTTTTGCTTTGAATGGTATATATAAGATTGCCATTAAAGTATCTGTTTTCCCTGTAACATCCAAAACAATTTCCATGTCCCATGGCTTTCTATTGACAATACAAAGCTCAGATCACTGAATTAAATGCTCCTCTTGTAATAAGATATAGAAAATAGTAACCTTGTAATTTGATATGGTTAACAATATGCCAGAATGGATTTTTTAAAAAACTGCTACTGTGGCAAATTTTGAATCCTCTTTTACATTATCATGATAAACGATTACCAACATTATACACTGACACATAAAATAGAGAATCTAACCCTAGTGATTATTACTAAGGTGCTATAAAACAGCATTAATTCTATTCATTAACATGGAATTCATCTCAGAAAAGCACTTTCGCTTGCAGTTTGCCAGAACTATTGCTCACTTAACTTAGGCACAAAGGAGACCTTTTCGCCTCTCCCCGCCCCAGAATAACAAGTCCACAAGATGTCCTAAGAGAAAGTTGCATTTAATACACACTAATTCCTATCCCGAACTCCGCATATTCTGGTTTTAGAGTCACGCACATAAGACGTCCCTCTTCGTAGAAAAGGGACGTGTGGGGGGGGCGGCCCTGTTTCTACAACGAGGGTTTTAAGTCTTATTGGGGAGGTGCCCCCCCCCGCCCCTGCCTCTCCCTTTTCTCCC